GTTATGTTCCTTATTAGCACCTATTCTGTCCCCCCTGTCTCTCTCTCCGGGTTCTCTCTTGGTTCAACTGTTTTCACCCCGACAACGTCTCGTACGGCCTCGTTCTCCCCCGCCGTCCCGCGAGCATTCACTCGACAATGTCTCGTCCGCGGATCTCTTTCTCGCCGCGCCTTCGAGCAGACCAACAGAGAGGCCAACAGAACATTGGAAAAAATGCTGTCAGTAGAGCACAAAGGTACAGTTTCTCCCTTAGAAGATTTTTCCCAGTTGACTACAAAGATACTAACTATGGATAGCCACCCCGAGCTCTCTCAGCAGGCTGACATCTGCCTCGAGCAGCAAGGTTCCAAGGATTTACGACACGACCGAGGACTCAAGGATTAGCAACACGAGGTACCAGCACCGAGGACGCTGGAAGGATTATCAAGACCAAGGACAACAGCAACAAGAAGAATCACCAACAACAACACGAGGTATCAGCACCGAGGAAGCTGAAAGGAAATCAAGGAAATCAACAACATTAACACGAGGATACTAGCGCCGAGGAAGCTGGAAGAACCACCAAGGAACCCAAAAGGAAATACTAACCAACCAACAGCACCGGAACCCAGGACCCCACGGGGAAGTCGTTCTTCCTTTTCCACTAACAGCTCCAAGCGGCAGGGGGGCGGACCATTCCTAACTTCCCATACCCCACGAGCATAAGCGACCTCCGCCCAGAATAATGCTCTTTCGAGCAAGCCCTCTATCTGCCTGAACTGTCGCGAGCTCGGACAGAGAAGCCCCTTCGAAGTTCTTTCTACTTTATTCCGTTGTCTCACACAGGTTGGCTGTGGCTACATTTGAATACTACTCCAGTACTACTCCAATACCTTTCATTTCATTTCATTTTTTCTTTTTCTTTCCTTTGGTTTAGCACCTACTATTACTACCTAGATAGATCCAACTCGGAAGGTAGGTAGACGAGGCCTACGAGACCAGAAATCTGGGGTTTTCGCTCTTGCGAGTGTTTTTCATACTCTGGAAACAACTTTTGCTTGGGCTTGGGGAAGTATGCCTCTTTGCCTCAAGAAGCATACAGGGAACTACTAAAACACGAAGTTCGCTCCCCAACGATCTTTACCCTTTGCTGTTTTCTTGTGTAACTAACCGTGTTTGCCTAGGGTCGGATCATATGGCTTTCTACAGTTTTTCAGGTAAGTTTCGACGTCGGGTACAAGTTCATTCTTGTTCTGCGAGGTAGGTTTGAGAGTTGTACGAGATATGTGACATGTAAAGAATATTTCGACGCCACTCTGGTTATCCTAGTTTAGAGTATTATTGATGTCTATTGTTGGCAGTATTGTATGAGTGGGGGAAGGGAGGGAAGATAGATTGGCTTGAGACTCAATGCATCACTGCGTAGCTGGACAGAACCAAGCCCGATAGCCACGGGGCTCAATAGAGATTTCCAAGGGCTAACGTCCCGTTACATACTTTACATTACATCGTAACTGTCTACTTTTCACGTAAGACCATGCATATGATAAGCAGAGGGGTTCGAGCACCGAGTACCATTTGTACACGGGGTATATTCTATTCAAGACACTCACTCTATCTAGAGTCTATTCTAGTGGGAGGCCCGATTATTTATCGAGGCTTTATCTTCGTCCAACCGCTGGTGCCCTTCTCCCTCTCGCGTTCTCTACCCACGACAGCTCCGTTAGGCACTCTAGGGTTATGATCGCCACTACTACCACTCTTAACAGTGTTGACACTCATATAACTCTCGATGCCGAAGCGATGGCCCGGAACACCGAGCTGGCCTTTATTCAGGGCTCCACCAACTAGCACCCCATCATCAAGCGCATCGTCTGGCGTCCATGCGTCATCCTCGAGTAACTCCCACTCTGGGACTGGGTTCTCACGCACGAGCCTGGCCTTTAACTTGTCGACCATTTTGATCACAGTAGGCATCTTAAAGCTTCGCGTGAGCTCGTTGCCCGCTGCGCTGCCGAGAAAGGTGTGGGCTGTGCCGTGAGAGTATAATCCCATGCGAGGTGCTGTTCTGCCAAGCTCAGCCGGGTTGTTGCCGTTAGATTGAGCGGGCGCCTCTGATATTTGCTGGGGGTTGCGCTGCAGGGAGGAGTTGATGAGTAGGTTATATAAATTTCGTCCTATGCAGGAAAATTCTTCAAGGCTGTTGCTGTTATCACCCATGGGTACGCCTTGTGTCCGGCAGAGCCAGACGATGTCGTAGGCTAGCAGACAGACTGCCTCAAGGAAGGCATTATACGCTGATGGGTCCTCTTTGCTAAGGACAGACAGAGGCTTCTCGAGAAAAAGGGGTCGAGGGTGTGGGACGCGAGCGAATTGACGGTCACGTGGGTCAGGAGGTATAAGAGAGGTACCGGGAAATGCGACGTCGCCATGGTGGTATGAAGACGCCAAGGAAAATATAGTTGGCTTAGGATAGTCATTATGTGGCAGGGTAAACTCAGCGGGAAGACGAATGGATAAATAGTGAGAGGCAAGCCATAGTAAGTGGGCGATATGCGCAAGAGAAGCGGAGATAAGCTCAGGTTGCGCGCCTATGCGAATATTAGGTCAGGTTGAACGACTACAAGTTACTTATAGGCAAAATACTTACTGTTCAAATTGTGTAAATCAACAATGTCGATGCTGCCGATCTTGTATTCGAACCGGACGGGATTCCCGCGGCGTACGCGCTGCAGTCTATATAACTTGGCCACCTCCATACACAATGCAGCGCGGTACTGAGTCATAGCATCGTACTCTCGATCCCAAGTATACCTGGACATCTTCGCGGCCGTCTTAACCTCTTCAAGCTCCCTGTTTCGTCGCACGGAGACACCCTGGGCCGCGGTGGTAAGATCCGACTTTTTACGGGCGATATTGGCTTTGCGCTCCCGTATCTCTTTCTTCGCAGCATCGACCTCCTTGCGGAGCTTGTCCGCCGTCGCTATAATCTTCTCCGTTCTCTTCTTGGCCTTATGTTCCTCTGATATACAGCTTTCTACGTAGGCTCGAGTAGAGCGATCGTCTACGGGGTTGCCGGCACTCGCATCGTTCTCTAGTAATAACTTGGTGACTCGAGACTCGAGCTCTTCAGCTTCCATGAGGATCCGAGCGTTCGCTATTCGTCTCTCATATAACTCATTTCGCGCATCGACCGCGCAAAAGAAGGGCAGCCTCGAAGGGTGGTGTATTCGATGGCAAATATCGCAATTCATGGTGGGCGAACTCTTAGTGGAATTAACGAATATTCGATAGCGACAGCCGACCTTGGGGGGGAAATTCAAGAGACGCGCTTCTACGGATAGCAAGCGGCAGATCGAGGAAGTTCGATTACATTTGCGAGGTGAGCAATCTGCATATCGACTTGCCAAAAGGCTATAAAACTATGAGTAAGAAAGAGGAGGTGATAGGGAATAGGCATTGCCCATGAGAGAGAGAGATGTGAATGGCAAGATAGAAGATGATGAGACGGGATGGTTCAATGTTCCTGTGACGTTGAGAGGTGTAGGGGTATGAATACTAGCGTGTGTACGTACCTACTTTAGGTACCTCCAACTACCTGTACTAGGTATGTTGCCCAGTCCGGCCAGTGTGCCTAGTAAAAATGCATGCAGGGGCGATTACATTAGGTAGATACGCTAGGTACATGTACTTTATCGGGTCTTATCAGTAACCTATCGGTCTTTATATCACCGTTTATATGCCAAGTCTTTCGAGAACTCGTTCAATCAATTTGATTCTTGGGCAGCGACGCGTTCTCTCTCCTCGTCTTTCAGGTATGTAACATGTAAAAGGAAGTGTTCCGTTCCTGAATCTTTATTACCTTGCACCTTGGTTTATTCACGTATAAATCTAAAGCTGTGAGTTTAGAAACATCAGGTGATCGATTTCTTTAAGCCTCAGCTGCCCTTCCATTCACTTCTAAGTCTACTCGTGTCACGCGTCGTCTATTCTCCTCGGTAACAGATAGCTACAGCAAAAGCTAGCATCATGTCTACTACACCTAGATCATCATCGCCGGTAAAACAATCACTCTCCCAGGATGAAGTAGCCGGTGATCAATCAATGATGGTAGAGTTACCAACTCATTTGGGTGACCAAACCGAGCTTGTTGAACCAGAGGAGGATGTAACGGTAAAATTACATTCGCAACCGCAGCCGCAGCCGCAATCACCTCCGCGAAGGGTTGATCAAGGTCAAGACATGTCTTTTCTAGCCAAAAATATAGACCGCCAACGTCAGACACGAACACCCGAGCCGCAAAAGCGACGGAGCAATAGGTCTGAAATGCAGAGTCCTGGTCATATTGTTGCATTTGACTGGGAAGACTTTGAGGACCGTTATGAGAAAGCCCTCCAAGAAGCTGATGAATCAGAGAAACAGCTCTTGGAAGAATTTGATACTCTTGTCAAGGTAAGCTAAGCAGTGCTGTAGTTATTATTAACGACTACTTTAACATGTACTAGATTGTGGCTAACTCTGTATTAGTACTTCAATGTCTGGGCGTCAGCTTCGTCTGCCCACGATAATGAGAGAGCAATCAAAAGGTCTGTCATCCCCTATCCCGTACCTCTGCATAGGAATAGTATTAAACAGTTAAACAGATTACAAACTCGTGAGAGACATGTTCGACTATCTGAGCAGGCACTCTTGCAAAAGAAACAGCATTGTGGGTATTGTTATTCCTGGTTCTTAGATATCCGAGACTAACTTGAGTAGTATCCGAGGTTGTAAAGGCGTTCCAGAGCGCTCTAGCACTTTTGAGATCAACCTAAGCCAATATATCGCATTTGATGTTTTAGGCCATAGTGGTGCATGATATCAGCGTTTTGCGTTCGATGAAGGTGAGGGTTACGACATGACGATTTTTACGATGCTTATGAATTAGTCACGATATGGCATTGAACCTAGCTGTGTACATAGGATTCCCTACTTTATGTATCGAGCTTTTATGATTTTTGTTTTACATTAATCTTTTCTCAGGTGGTTTGGCGCAACGGTCAAGCGCTTGGCACTCTCTTTCGAGAGGGGGTGGGTTCGAATCCCGCAACCACCACACGACTTTTCATGCCTGGTGAAAAGCCGGACCACCGTCGGACCAGCCACGTAGCAGTAAGGTTTTGGTGCAAAAGTCCAAGACATGCGTAGCTATTCCGACAACAGGCAATACTGAGGCCTGGGTATTTGAGGAAGTAGTGACCCCTCAAGTCACCGAACGAGCACTGACAACGAGCCGGCCACGGTCCGCGCCTTCAGGTTGTGGCCTTGTCCACCATGTAAAAAGTCGAAAACTTTCTCCCTATACGAGCGTTAGAAGACCCTACCGGGGGAGGGGGTCAAAAGGACGCATCCCGGACCGATACGGGTGTTCGAACGTACCCAAGATCGCAGCGACAATACGAACTTGAAGAAGCATATTCAGGATATGCTTGCCAAAATATCTTGACGATATCAAAATAGACGATAACGACCACAAGAAAAATCGAAGACAAAGCCAAGCAGCAACAAGAGAAGGATTACCATAGCGGAACAGGTTTTTCTCCGACACAAGCACGGTTCCTGTCCGAACCTATACCGAGTAGCCTTAAGTTTGCTTTAAGTTTGCTTTAAGTTTTAACTTAAGGATATGTGTCAAGGTGGAAAATGGAAAATTGTGATTGGTCCGAAAGTGATCGTGGTTAAGTTTGTTTTTTATTTACATTCAATTTTTACATTTAATTTTTTTTAATTTTTTCCAATTTTGGGAAATTTTTTTTTTTTTTTTTAATTTTTTTATTTAAAAAATAAAAAAAAAATTAAAATGACGTTAAATAAAAAATAAATTAAAATTATTAAAAATTATCCGTTCGATAATTCGTTAAATCGTTTTTTAATTAAATTATACGATTTGAAAATATTTAATGAATTTTAACGTTTTATAATTGTAAATTTTTTATTAATTATGTTTAATTTTATTATAACATTTAATTTTAATATTATCGAAATTTTTTTAAATATATAATATAAATTTCGAATAAATATTTCATTTTAATTTATTTAATTTTATTCGTTTATAAACGTTATCATTATTAATTTTCCCGATATCGATATTTAAGTTACCATTTTTAATTTTATTATTAATATTAATTTTTTAACATTTTTATTTTTTAATATCATACCGATATTTAAAAAAATATTTGTTAAAATTAATTCGAATCGATTTGTTAATAACGAAACGCGTGAAATCGTTAAACGAGATTTTTTTAAAAAAATGAAAAATTACATTTTTCGTAATGTTAATAATTTTTAAAATAAATTTTTTAAAATTTAAAATTAAAAATAAAACGAAATGTTAAAAAAAATATTAATAACGTATAATAAAAAAAATAAATGGATTTTTTAATTATATTTAATGAAAAATTAATTTAAAATTAATTTTATTTTTTAAAAAAAATTTTTTAAAAAATGTATTATATAAATTACATATTATTATAATTATTAATTAATTTAAAAAATGTAAAAATTAAATGAACATTTTTTTAAATTAATTTTAAAAATTAATAATAATAATATTTTTTATTATAAAAACGTTTTTATTATTAAAAAATAAAAAAATTATACGATATAAATAAATTTAAAATTAATTTTTTTTTAATTTTTATATTATGTATAAAATGTTTTTATTAATTGGTCGACGTTTTAATTTATTTACGTTTTTTTTTTATGTTTTTAAAATGGAATTTTGGATTTTTAATTATTTAAAAACGTATAATTCAAATATATTTAATAATTACGACGAATTAAATAAATTTATACGCGTTTTTATTAATTATATTATGATAGATAACGATTTGATAAATTTGAATATGTTTGTTGAACGGAAAAATAAATATTATTATGTTATAATAGATGATGTAAATGGTAAAAAAATAAAAGTTAAATTAAAAACCGCGATAATTAAATAAAAAACTATCGTTTATCGCGGGATAACGTGTTATAAAATTTTAAATAACCACGTTGTTAAATTTTTATAAACATCGGATAAACGGAAATTAAAAATGGAATAATTAAATTTAATATAAATAATAAACGTTGAAAAAATGGTTAAAATTATAACACATTATTGCATTATTTTTATTATAAAAATGTAAAAAAAATTATTATTTTTAATAATTCACCGTTTTTAAAATGAAAATATTTAATTTAATAATTTATTATTAATTATATTAAATATAAACGCGATAAATAAATGAAAATTATTAAACGATTATGTTTTTAATAACGTGTTTAATTTTAAAAAATAATGGTTTTATAATTAAAAATCGAAATTAATTATTAAATTTATTAATAAAATCAAATTAAATTTTTATATATTTAATAAAAATTTATAAAAAAATAATATTTATTTTTATTTTATTATTTTACTCGTTAATTATATTATTAATGAATTTAAAAATATTAAAAAATTATTAAAATTTTTACGAAATACGATTAAAATATATTAATTTTTTTATATTAAAAATAAAATATTTTACCACGATATATTTTTAAATAATATCATTATTATGAAATTTAAATTAATAAATAATTTTAAAAATATATTTATTAATTTTAATTTAATTAAAATGAAAAACAACGGTTTTAAATTAATATAGTATTAAATTAACACGATGTAATTTATAATAATAAAAATGTTACGTAAAATTAATCATATTTATTATTATAATTTTAAATTATTTTTTTACATTTTGTTTTAAATGTGTGAATATTAATTATAATAAAATGAATTTAATAATATAAAACAATTATTTAAAAAAAATTTATTCCGTAAATAAAAAATTAAAAATTTTAAAAATATAACGTTTATTAAAATAAACCATATGATTGGAAATGGTTTTAAAAATATAATAAATAAATTTTTAAAAATTTTAAATATTATTAAATTATTTTATTTAAAAATTAAAAATATTTTTTTTTTAATAAAAACGGAATAATAAATTTTAAAATTTTTATAAAAAATTTAAACTAATTATACAAAATTATTATAATGATAATTAAATGATAAAACATACGTATTTGATTTAATACGTACTTAAATTAATACGTATTTTAAAAAAAAATATTTAAATATTTTTATTATATATAAACACGTTTTTTCGTTTATATTCAATTAAATAATTTTTTCTTTAAACATTAATAATAAACCAATTTCAATTTTATTGTTTTTATCGTTATTTATTTTTATTATTATTTTTTTTTTAATTTCATCACGTACGTATTTATTAACATATAATTATTTATAATAAAATTATTAATAAATTTTAACGAATATTAATATTAAAATAAATTATTTCGTAATATTATTAAAAGTTTTTTTATTTAAAAATTAAATCATTATCATTAATAATAATTTAATAAAATTAATTTATTTTAATTTTATATGTTTTAAATTTTAATTTATATTTTAAAATTAATTTAATTATATTTTAAATTTTAATTTATATTTTAAATTTTAATTTTATTTTAAATTTTAATTAATTTAAAAATATGTGTGAAAGTAAAAAATGGAAAACCGTGATTGGTCCAAAAGTGATTATGGCTAGTGTGGGGCTGCTTAAAACTTAAGGTTCAAGTCAACCTTTGGGGTGACTTCCAATGTAGGTACCTAGGTACATGCGTATAAGTACCTTAGTAACGTGCATTGGCTGTACTGCTTGCACAGTGCTCAATGAGCCAAACGCGACGCGGTTCATTTGCAAGGCACCGTTATCGATAACGGACATTTACTACCAAAGCTCTATCAATAGCTCGCCCTGGATTCAAAGCTACTAGGTACTGTCTTGCATCTTTCTATTTTTCTTTCGTAACCTGCACCAAATATTTGGCCGCGGCCTGCGACCGTTTGCTCCATAACGATGTCTACTGCTCTTCAGGGCTCGGGCAACTTTAAAGTGCCAGAAGTTTCACAGGTATGCTTCTTTATCAGATCTCTTTTTTTTTTTCTTTTCCATTGGCTAATGCTGACTTCCTAGGCAGGAAGATATAAGCTCATTTTACGACACGCATTTCTCATTCGCAGCTGTCGAGCTCTTTGACGCCCAGTTTTTCCGCCCGGAAAACACGCAAGATGATAATCAATACTGTGAGGAATACGAGGAATATTACGAAGAGGATGATGGCTTGGGCTATTATCCGGATGGTGTTAAACGCACCCTCACAGACGAGCAAATCGCGATATTTCGACATTCCGAAATTGAATCCCTACGCCGCGCTAATATAAGAGCCGCTAAGTTTGGGAAGACTTTTATCGCGCCGTTGGAAGTGACCGAAGAAGAAGATTCTGTTTCTACTTATGATTCCAATCCCGATTCGATAGCGATAATGTTGCCTACCATGCCAGATGACAGCCAAGAAGCAGACAAAGGGAAAGAGGTTGAGGCGCAGGATGGTAGCGAGGACGGAGAAATCGAAGAAGAGAGACCTAAGCCAACGGAAGTTGAAATCAAGCGTCAGAAGAAACAACGCGCGAGGAAAAAGAAGCATGAGCAGCGCAAGTTCAACCCCGAGAAGAAGCCTGATCTACGAAAGAGGACGTGGGACGTAGTCGAGACTGGTATGGACAGCCTGTACTACGACGACGAAGCAGCTCAAGACACTGCTGCCACTCCTGCAGCGCAGAGACGAAGGATATCGTACGACGATTAAAGACTGTTGAAGAAAAAGAAACTAATTGTCCATTATTTTCTATGGGACTTTAATCTCGAGACATCCACCTGATTCGCGGTGGGTACGTGGTTGGTACGTGGTTAAGTGATGCCTGGCTAGGTTAGTGTTGCATTCCCTGACTCCCTTTGTCTGTTTCGTTTCCGTGATGAGAACCTTTGTATCGTCATCCTTAGTCTGAAGTCCGGGGCTACCTGAAGTTGGCTTCTGGCTGGCGGATGGTTGGCTTACCTAAACGGATGCATGTCGAATAATTAATCTTCTCTCTGAATGCGTCGCATTATCCCTTTTACGTGTTCTCCCTGTCTTATTACCTACTACATCAAGCATTGGTGCTGACTACTTGGTGTATGA